GTTACACCAGGCTCTATTGGACCAGCAAACCTGGTCCCCACCTTCTTCTTTTTTTTTTTTTTAATTGTTGCTGTCATTTTGTTATGTGTTTTTTTCTATTTGGATCCACAGTCAACATCTATGGAAACAGCAGTCAGGAAATCAAATGGCATAATGCCTTGGACACATTTGCTGCTAAGACCTCTTTTAAAGTGTTTAAGAGCAAAGATGTCACTTTGAAGACTAAGATACACCTGACCCACCATGGTATTTTCAATAGCTTCATATGCATGTGAGAGCTGGACAATGAATAAGGAAGACTACAGAAGAACTGAAGCTTTTGAATTGTGGTGTTGGTGAAGAATATTGAAGGTACCATGGACTGCTAGAAGAATGAACAAATCTGCCTTAGAGGTAGCATGGCCAGAATGTTCTTTAGAAGTGAGAATGACCAGACTTCATCTCTCATACTTTGGTCATGTTGTTGGAAGGGACCAGTCCTAGAGATGGATATCATTGTGGGTAAAATAGCCAAACCAAACCAAACCCACTGCCATCAAGTCGATTCTGACTCATAGCAACTCCCATTGGGTTTCTGAGGTGGTAAATCTTTACAGAAGTGATTGTCCAGTCTTGCTTCTGTGGAGTGGCTGATGGGTTTGAACCACCAACCTTGTGATTAGTCAGATGCCTTAGGTACTATGCTATCAGAGCTCCTTTGGTAAAGCAGAGGGTCAGTAAAAAAGGAAAAAACCCTGAATGAGATGGATTGGCACTGGCTGAAGCAATGGGCTCAAGGATAGCAAGTATTGGAAGGATGACACAGGACCAGTTAGTGTTACATTCTGTTATACATAGGGTTGCTATGAGTTGGAACCAATTTGACAGCACCTAACAACAATAACATACTCAAGGTTGTATTTTGGCTCTCTTGGAGTTTGTTTTAATTTTCTTCAGCTTCAATTTGAACTTGTGTATGAGCAATTGATTGTCTATACCACAGTCAGCCTCTGGACCTGTTCTGAGGTATGATATTGAGCTTCTCCATCTTTTCTTTGCACAAATATAGTCAGTTTGGTTCCTATGTATTCTGTCTGCAAGGTCTACGTGTATAGTTGCCATTTATGTTGTTGAAAAAAGGTGTTTGCTGGGTGGACAGGCTGAACTAATAGGTATGTCTATGAAGTGGGGAGTATACCCAAGAACATGTATAGGGTTGGCAGACAACGGTCCTATAAGTTTATGTGTATGATCTGAATTCCCAGGTGTATAGTAGAGCTGACAAGAGGCAAGATGATAGTCACTGCTTGGTCACAGCCAGCTACCCAGAGGGACCAAGTAGTTGAACCTGTGGGCTTAGGATCATAGTCAC